GACATCAAAATTTAAATTAAATGCTATGAATTCATACTTTAACTATATTAGAAAAATACACCAAAAATTACACCAACTTTAGAGTCAGAAGCTATATAAACTTTAAATTTAGTACTCTGAATTTTAAAATCCATTCTGTTGTTTACAGACCATAGCTCTAAAACTGTCCAGAATACAGAAGATGAAGATATGTCATATGCCCATAAAGTATCTGCTATATATAGAGTGTGTGTATGTATACACACATACTTCCTAAAAGAGAAAAGAACAATCATGTATTATTTACCATATAGGTCAAGGCTTTAATATAGGACTTTATGATTAGAATTCAAACCTTACAACACTCTGCTTTTAAAAGTATAACCTCAAGAAGATCTTATACTTCAAATAAACAGTCTAGATGAAGTGTCAGAAAAAAAAAAAAAAAAAAGGCCAAATTATCAACCCCAGGCATTTTGGCTTAAAATGTTTAAGCCCTCTGCACATACCCATCAAAAGAAGGCTAAATGCTATACAGTGTATGGACACACGATGAAAAGGAAAGAAAATTTAACTCCATGATCTCATCACTAAATGGATAATTGCTGGAAGAAAATGGAGCTGGAAATAGGGATTGAGATCCTTAGGAAATAAAGAGAAATTTTGTAAATCTGTTCAAAATCCCATGAAAATGAAATGTTAAGATTCCCACCTAGAATCTGAGGGCTTTAGGATTCCTTGAAACTTCATTTGGAGCCAAGCTGTTTGAAGTTGGCACTAACAAAAGGGCTCTTTTCAGCTACTATGAAGAACATTACTTCCTTGCCAAACAAAATCTGTTTCATGAGAATATTTCAACTTTAAAAGCCTCGCCCTAGTGGAGCTAAGATACCCTGCCCAACAGGATACAGAAATAATACCAAGAAAACGTCTCCCTAAAGCCTGGACTTTTTCTCCACCGGTGAAGGATGCCAACTCTACTCCATGGGACTATCTACTCACAAACTAACCCTACTTTTAATCAGTAACCAATTAATCTGAAACTTAACTTTGATTTTTTAAAAAAGTGAGTTTCTATTTCTAAAGAAATCTTTTAAATTCCATGAACCATTCCATAAGAAAAAGCAGTTCTCTAAAGATACTAAATTTGCGTTTATGAACAAACTGGTAAGAAATGTTCACCTTAGTTTGGAGGGATAATGGGGTTGTTATGGCAGAATACTGCCATTGAAAGCTACAGAAAAACTTCAAATTCTCCAGGAAACAATCACGAAACAAGAAGCAGTACAAACCTCTACTCAAGGACCCTTAATTGAAAGTAGACCACATTATGTAATTAAATGGGAAAATTCTGGGAACATACTCCAAATTTAAGTTCAAAGGTCAGAGTGTTTCATAATCCAGAGGAAAAAAGATAAGGCTGTTTACCATAATGTGGTACAGAATAAGTCAAACACTTATCCAATGTTACGGCAACTCAGAGGGGGAAGAAAAAAAAACAACATAGTTCATGATTGAGAAAAAGGAATCACAAAGCAAAAGGTCAAAACAGAGTCCCAAAATTAATGTCAGAAATATCCATAGGGCAAAATTAAAGACAAAGTTGCAAACAGCCTGATCATTTCATTTGGTGAATTAATCAACAGAACTGTAACTGGAACAGTGAGAGTTCTTTTTAGCTCCACATAAAACATTTTAAAGTACCTCACTAATTTCTAATCATTACATTTGCAAAAGTTTCTAAATTAAAATTAAGAGAGCTAATCTGAGATTACCCAACCAGATAACCTGTGGCATACTCGACCAACTACTGCCGTTCTGGGAAGGACTTCAGCCACCATATGGCAACCTCAAAGCATCCAGCATTCAAACCCCGACATACTTTAGCTATTAGTGGAGCTGAGACCCCGGCCAGGAAGTGGCCACCTCAACCCATGCTGTACAACTGATGAAAGCAGTACAAGGGCCCACTGAAGACATAACAATTGAAGATGTAATAATTGCATGAGTCTTGCTAACATGACATCAAAAGCTCTCCCACATTCATGCTCTGGTGTCTTTGCTTGGGCAGTATTTCAGAAGGTAAGTGGACAAATATCTCGTTCCATTACCTCAAAAAGAGAGTTGTAATCTTTTTCTACAATTAGAGATTAAAGAATCCTTTAATTACGCCTTATTTATCTTTCATCTTATAATATATAAGGTTACCAAAAGTCAGATGATAGTGAACCAAACCTACACAAGCCAATAGGCTTGTATTCTTTTCTAAAGATTCCTACTAACTTGCCCTAAACATTGGGGAATGGCTTCAGAGAATTAAAAATAGACTTAATAAGACAAGTGAAGGCTATTTTTACCAATGCAATATCCTGAGGCCGACCCCGCTAAAGGTGCGGACAGAAAGGGGGCGGGGGGTAGGAAAGGAGAGATTCTAACTTGACCGCCGAGACTGAAGATGGACTCGGTTAGCACCCCCGAAATTCATCCCAACTGAATGACCTGCCC